AAAAAAAAAAAAAAAAAAAAAAAAAAAAAAAAAAAAAAAAAAAAAAAAAAAAAAAAAAGAAGAGAGGAGGAAAAGAAAAACAAAAAACAAAAAAAAAGTTCAAGTCTTGCGGTCGTGGTCGCCGTTCACCGCTCACACACTCAGAGAATTGGTGGCGGCCTACCTTATCTAAAGCTTCAAAAGTACTTAGAAGTAATGTCAATGTCGCCGGGTCTGCTCTTATGATAGGTATAGATATGGGTCATCAGGGAGTTTCGCGAGCAGTAGACCCGCTCGCAGATGACGCATCGGTACTCCTCCTGTCGTTCGGCGTGCTTGTCGGCCACGTGGCGCTTGAGGGATGCTTTGCTGCAAAGTACCTTGCCGCACAGTTGGCAGGTGAAGAGCTTCTTGGTCGACGGTGCGTTCAGGGAGTTGAGCGTCAGGCCAGGCATGGAGGCGAGCACTGAAACACAACAATGCACCTCATGCAGCAGAACGGCACCATCCATACCCCTACATACTCCTCCTCCCACTCTCCTCCGACCATTTTCCTATACCAACAACCTTCCCTCGCTCGCCCTGTCCAACCCTATGGCAATTTTACCACCCCCCCCCCGACTCCCTCGGATGTCCAACGTGTGTCTCCGCCTCCCCCTCCCGTCATGCATCCTCAATGTACCTTCCACAGGACCATTCATCGAAATATAATACGTATACCCTCTCGAAACGACGGATATATATTTTTTTTCTTTCTTACTAAGATGGGATGGACTGAGGAAGGACCATAATATAGACCCGCAGAGAGTTAAGTTGCTCCCGGTGCTCGAGAAATTTTCAAAAAACGCGAGATCGTTCTTTTCACCGGTGGAGGATCGTAGAAATAGCGCCGCGGATGAAACTGGAAATAACGAGCCGCGTTTACTTGCATTGAATTCGCGGACTCGGGAGTTTCTTTTCGCGGGTGATTGCAGAAAACGAGCGTCCCTCACTGAAATAAAAGGGGTAGGCGAGGGCTAGCTCTCACCAAAGACGCGCAGAGGTAAGAAGTACGATGCGCGGGGTAGCTGGTTGGAGAGTTTATCTCGGCTCTTTATTGAATGCGCGGAAAAATGTCGCGGCGTCGTTGCTCTTTCACGCGAATCAAACGTCAATAAAGTGCAACGTCTCGTTTCAGCGTCGCCGTCGTTATATTAATTAAAAGGGGCCGAGCAAAGGAGAAGATGCGTCGCGGAGGATGGGCACGGTTGGACGGAGAAAGGAGCGCTAAAGAAAAAGACGGAGGAGCATCGCCGCGCTCGGGGAGCCTGAATGGCGATAATGTCGTTGGCTCTGCCTCCTTTCTCTTTTTTTTTTTTATATTTTCGCGTGGATGATATAAGAGAGCGTCGCTGCTTCTGCTGAAAAAATTGTGTATAAGACGGCGATGGTTCCCCCTTTTCTTCTTCTCGGCTCGGCTGCTGCCTTTTCCTCGACACCGGCCGAGGCGCGGCTGGATCCGCTCATTCATTCTCTTTAGGAAATTGCTCTTTATCCAATTTCTCAAGTCGTGTCTCATTAAACTTCGGCCGGAAAAGAAACTGCACCGCTTTATACAAGGGCACAATGAGGGTATGTGCGCGCGTCAGGGGGTGCGGGTGAATAGGCAGGTAGACCTTAACTTTGGCTGCCATTGCAGCGCGCGCTCTGGGATTGGTTACCGCGATGAAATAATGTGATGGATAAATATGACGAAAAAAAAAAAAAAAAAAAAAATGGTAAGGGACGTCCTAGGCAGCGGAGGTGAGAGCAAGTGGGGGGAAGGAAGCTGTAAGAATGGGAGCTAAAGAGGCTGGGACTTTTCGCGCGTGTACGTGTGAATACACGCAAAGCCATTGGAGAACAAAGAAAACGAACGAAACGACATGAGATGGTGAAAGACATCCACAAAGAACAAAAAAAGAGAAAAAAAAAAAAAATAGGCAAGAGTACAAAAATAACAGTAACGATGTATTTACTTGTGAACGCGCACTGCGAGACAAAAATTCATTAAGGCATCGTATGCATATACACTCGCGCTATTCTCTCGTATCGGAGTGGAGTTTCTATGGCTAGGTACACTATACGACAAAATGTGAGGCGACGTATAGAAAAACAGTACATTGAGCAGCACATTCTTAAAAGAACACTTAAAGCATGCACTTCGAGCCGAGCGAGATCAAAGCGTGCTCTCCCTTGTATTACATGATATGGGTACGTCTCTGTGTTTTCGGCCATTTTACCATTTTAGCCATTGACATATACAGCTATTAGCAGTCTACGAGGGTACGTGCGTCACTTCCCTCAGGGATGACAAATTGTGCATCTTTTTTTTCATCTTAAATGCAACGTTTCAAGTAGCTGGAGTGTGCTGAATTTTTACAGTCAGAGTCGTCATCCCTGATTGCTTTTACCGATACAAGGGTGTACAGCCATTCAAATGACAATTTTACGAATCTCAATACACAACAATAAGCCCTACAGAAAAATCTGTTTGGACACACACGCACACACACGCACTCAAAAACTGACTTACACGTGCGCTCTCGTATCTTAATGCTGAGAGGAAATGAAAAAAGAAATTCAAGGATTTACGTATTGTGTATTGAAAGTCTTAATGAAGGCGAGAGAACGGAGACATTATTTTTATGTATGTACACGTGTACAAATAGATCGTTGTATATTTATATATATATATATTTTTTTTATCTTTGACAACAAAGCTTGAAAGCTGGCTCATTCTACACTGGATGTTTCTCTAAACACACTTACCTGAATGTTGATAAAGTTTGGTTCTTTTTGTTAAATTTATATTCTTCGATACTTTTATTTTGCTTATTTCTAAATATTTTCACCATCAATTAAAGGTGGAGGATTTATAAATATGGGGGATCGGGAAAAGCAGATAAAAATAAATGAAAAACACTGTAAAATTATTAAACCAAATAGTATACATTTCAAGTAGAATATAAAAATGAAAATGTATTAAAATGCATTTGACATAAGATACGATACGTAAAATATATTAATTATCAATTAATTCATAGTTCGAGTTTGATTTATTAAACATGAATTTTTTTTCAATGATTCATGCAAGATAGAACTTAAAAAAAAAATAAAAAAAATTCCATTCATACGTTTTTTCTTGCATAAATCATTGAAAAAAATATCGAAAAACGAATTTTTAGCGCCTATTTATGANTTGTAGTAAAATAATGATATAGTATTAATTGTTAATAATGATCAATAAATATGTAACATAACCAGAACACCTTGGCAGATAACAATTAATATTTAAGCACGATAACGTAGCAATTTACTATTTTTAGTTTTTTTTTTTTTCTATTCACGTCTCTTAATTGGAAAGAACAACTTCCGTAAACGCGAGCATCTGCGAATAAGTCGTATGTACTTATAAAACTTATTGAAGAGCGGGTAATTTTTTCGTACTGATTAAAGAGTTACTTGGCCTAATTATAAATGCAAAACGCTTGTAAAAATCTTCGGCGCTTCTGTCCTGTAATTAATATAAACATGCTAAGATGGTTAATATAGAACAGCAATTATTTAAGAAAAAAATTGTATTATATGTGTTTGGATTGTGCTTTACAGCGCAACAAAGATAACTAATTGTATAAGAGGGCAATTAAAGTCTTACTATACATTGATTAACATATGTTTGATATTGTAGAAAAAAAATTGAATTGTGCCATAACAGTTCTCTTTGCGCAATCAAGTATATAAATCTAGAGTTGATATAAGATATCATATGGATAATGCATGTGATTTATGTGAGTGTTTGTGAATAGGTATGTGAAAAGCTGTAAATATTTGTGATAATGTGCGTGTATACATCTTTTGACCACTCGCTATCGCACTCTAAACATAACAAAAAGAAAAAAATTTGCTGGGAGCAGTAGAAGCGAAAAAACAAAAATTACTATCATCCACTTTGTCTTTTTTTTCACAAAGTAACTGTACATTACTTAAAACCATACAAATAATAAAGAAAATCAAAAATTTCTCTAGTTGCACTTGGCTACTTCGGCCTTACAGAGAGTTGTTGAAAAAATTAAGAAAAATACGTAGTCCTCTGCCACTATGCATATAAATTTTGTGTTGCTTTTACGTTATATATTTTTTTCGTCTTAGAAAAAAAAACCCTCAACTAACGCATTAGGTACTTTTTGTTAACGGTTTGGTAACATCAGTCAAACTTTAAAATCAGTCCAATCGTATACTTTGACTAATTAAGAAGTAGTTTTTCACGATTTCGTCCAATTCAGTCGTACGGCAAAACAAAAATACGAAAAATTACAAATTTTTACAATATAAAATTTTTAATGACAATTTTTCAGTCTTTCCGTTTTCAATTTTTATTCATTTTTTGAATAAATAATATAATTTTAAGAACAAAAGAGCGCGTTTCATCGTCGTATCACAGGCCAATTTCGACGAAATATTGTCGACTTTTTAAGTTCAACGACAAGACGCGAAGAACGTATTCAAATTGACAATTTACATTTTTTTTCCGCACATAAATTATAAAATAATTCGTAAAAAATATTTTCAACATAAAAAAAAAGAAAAAAAAATAATGCAACTAAATAAAAAAAAATAAACTCTTATAAAAATCTACTAAATATTCATATAGTTTTTTAATTAAATATTCCATTTGATTTATATTAATTTCATTAATAATTTATTATTTTTTTTATAATAATAATGCGCCGCCCAGCAACCAGGTTTGTGCAGGTGACAAATGATTCGCATTACGTTTTTGGCCATTTTTACAGTAGTCACGATATAATAACTGTCGATTTTCTCATACATCATTTTCTCCCACGCCTCCCTTTTTTCTTCCCATTTATAGTTTTTCCATTCATATAATCATCCATCCTTTTATTATCTAACTATATATAATATATTATCAATATCAGTTCTCACCATTTTGACTACAATAAATTTTATTTACTCCTTTCTTCTCATAATTTTTCTTTAAAGCTTCAGCAATCGCTTTCGTGTCTAATTTTTACTCAAATTCTATATTTTTTTGCCTTTTTTATTCGTCTATTGAATTACCAATTTTCAGCTCAAGTCTTTCCTATACTATTTATAAACGAGCTCTGTGACGAGCATAATTTTGACAGCCTCAACTTTCTGTATACACTTTTATTGATACATATATGTATATATTTTTTATGTATATAAAAAAAATCTTTGTATACAATTCCGCGCTAAAGTAAAAATATATAACATGCTCTTGGCAAAATTTAACTACTGCATTCTAACTTCAGCAAAAAAATCATTGGAATACTTTTCATTCTCTCATTTTATTTTTAATCAATAATTATTGTGGTGGTGAATTAGGAAAAATTTATTTTCATCAATAAATGATTGAATTTCATGGTTTTCAGTTTAAATAAATTACGTTTCAAAAATGTGCCAAAGGGAATCAATTAATTTATTAAGGTCTTTTTATGATAAATAAAAAAAAAATAAAAAAATAAAAAAAATTAATTACGTAACGAAATAATAAAAGAGAATGCAAGTATAGTTATTTTCCATTAATTTTTTTTGTACAAGTCTCGCACTCCACTCTGGTCCGACTGAACCTCGACGTTAATCGTTCGCCCGTGGCACCGAACAATATGCGCGAGTTGGAGCTTCGCTTTATACATACCCTTAAATTTAACTGTATCATAGCCTATTAATTAACATATGTTTAGAAGTGTAACGTTTATTTACTTGTGTACGAAAGATGTGTTGTATGTGTCCTATACGTCTATGTGCCAATCTCATAAAATGTGACGTTCTTAAAATTATTATTCATTATACGGGATTTTTTATTTGTTTTATGTAAATAGTATTAATATGGTAGCTTGTAAAATATAATTAAATAAGTCACATAAACGTTTTTGATTCGCCATTACACGACTTCTAATCCATTTCTGCAACAGAACAACCTAACCTGTCTAGAGTTCGTATTTTTAGTTTTTTCTTTTTTTCGAAGCCTTTTTGATGTTACTGTTTCACTTGATTAATCAATGACCTTAAGTTGGTGTCAATTCAAATAGATATTGTATGGAATGTTAAAACAATAATAATTTAATTTTTATTAATTATTGAAAAAAAAAATGTACAAATAATATGCGAGTCATCAAATGCGCGACATCAAAAAGGCTATGTGTGTCGCTTTGCTTGTTAAAGTTCTACTAAAATATAGTTGTGTATGTATATATGCTAGTACTTTATTATATGCAATCAGCTATATGTGGTTAGTTGATTATTATCGATTTGTTACATAATTATCTGTCAGTGCTAATGGACTGTAGCTTTTTTTTCATCTTATATTTCTGCATCATAATTATTTAAGAAACTGGCATTTATTTGTATTATTTATACGTCATTTGTGTATTTCAAGCCCAATTTTATAAAAAAAGAGACTAAATCGTGACAATACCCCTGTGCAGAAATATGGGCTTGCACATGATGCTCTTGTGGACGTAAAACACTGGTGAAAGTAGTTGATCAGACTTTATATTTTTTTATGAGTGAGACTGGGTATTTAATATAAATCAGTATGATTTTTTTCGCTTAACTGGATATGATAAAACTTATTGATTCTTGTAATAGTATAATACGTGGATGCAGCTGCTAGGAAAAGAAAGAAAAAAATGGCTCAGATTACATGGGTATCAGACATTCTTCACTTTAGTTTCCTAATAGGTGCGCACTTCAAATTACAAAAATTTTATTTAATGAATGTAAAATAATCAAAATAGCAACTGATCAGGGGTTTTGAAAGCTATAAAATATAATAAGAGATTGGCATAAATAATCGATGTCTAGTCCTCGATTTTTTGTAAAATTTTTCATGTTTTTTTGTATCTTATTCTAATAAAGTTCGAAAAGGTACGTCATTAAAGCCCTGTTTTCCACCGTTAAAACAAAGAAAAGTCAAAGGCGGAGCATGTACAAGATAGTAGTCCGCTTAAAGCATTCAATCGTTCAATCAAATGGAATGAATGTATCAAGATAAAATATATTATATATATATATTCATACCGTTGCAACATGTGCGACGCAATATAACACGAGGGTGGTTTTATTTAACTAGAAAAAAAATTTAACAACATCCACCCATTTCACCGATTTTTAAACTTTTCAATAAATTTAAAAAAAATACTTAAAAAGTAAAGAAAAATTATACACACCCGTGAATCATTTTCATGCCGCGATACAGGTCTCTCGTTCTCATAATTTACATTATTACTTATCATCAATTTTACTTCCTTTCCCTTTTTACATTTCGAAACTTTAAAAAAATCTTGAGTCTTTTAGTTGCATAATAACGTTCGCACAGTCTTTCTCCTATCATTTTAAAAATCACATGGACTACCGCGTCTCTTTGACTGTTGGAAAGTCAAACTATTATTTATTTATACCCTATATTCTATCAAGGGATCAAATCGAACTTAAAAAATTTTCAATAAAAAACGAATAGCAATTTACACATTATTGCCACGATCACGGAAAATTTTCAATAATTTTCTCTACTTTCTTTTTACACGCATGGACTACTCGATTACTCGTTTAACAAAACTAGTGAGTACAAGACAAGTTTGACTCGTCCATTGATAAATTTTGTCAGTCATTTAATTTTTGGCCGTTTTCATCGTAGAATTAAACATGCGCGTTTTCTTTCTTTCTTTCTTTTTTTTTTTTTTTTTTTTCACGATAATAGCTAAGTATAATATTATCCTCCGAAATAACAACTTATGGTGTATCGTCACAATAAATTTGCCTATAGTCGCCGGCACCTATATAACAACCGATAAAATTCTCGTGTAACTCGTCGCAATGACCATCTCTAAGATTGCCACACAATCAGTCCATTTTTACTATAATTTCATTTGTTACTTTTAAATACAACGTACCAAAACTCCTAGAGTTTTTTTTTTTTTCTTTTTTAATCTCGAAAGCTCGTTTGTCTTCCAATTTGTCTTTTGTTTTCCGTTTCGCTTGAAATACCCACTGATTTGGAAGCACTGTATATATCGTTTATTTTTCGCCCCTTTAAAAAAAAAAAAACTTTTTTTTCCTCTTTTTCACCCTACATAGTCATGGGGTTATTATTTAAGTTATTAATATTATCAATTACGAGAAGATAACAGGCTTGACAACATTATACAAAAAGGAAAATATACACGATCCACAATTGTGTTCTTGCAACGTCGACGAGTCAGATGCGCCTCGTGCGTTCACCGGGAGAAGATGACAACTGTTCGAGCAAACCCAGTTGGATATATATTTTCGCGGATCAGGTGATGCCCACGTTTCACGTCAAACTCCCAACTAAATAATTATAAAAGCTTCAACTAAACCGTGTGCACAGGTGTATATGTACCCGACCAACGACGAACAGGAAAATGAGGAAAAGCCAACAGGGGGTGCTCGAGTTGGAAGTTAAAAAAAAAATAAATAAAAAAAAAAAAAAATAAACGACAAGTGAATAGTATGTATAATAGCCTACATCAAAATCTACAGCTAAATCAGTATAAAAAATATAAATTTTTTTACTCCAGCGCAACTGAAAAACGCGCGTCTGGGGGGCCCCCCTTGGGTACTGGAAGCAAGCAAAATTGCTTCATTATCGTCATCAACGCGTCGCGATCATCCGACTCGTCCTCACTTTATGAACGCTCGTCTATCACACTGTCTGCCTATTTTTTAATATTTTTTCTATGCACGCGATAGGACAAGCTGTCCCCGACCGAGGGCTCCATCCTCCGGTTTCCCTCGGAAAAGCAAGCATACGCGAAAATCGCGATCGCAAAGTGAGTATTAGGTACTCGCGTGTAATTGAATACGCATATGTATATATCGAAAGCAGTGGTGTGGGCAATCGAGTTATTGTTGCCGACGCGGTGGTGGTGGCGGGGGAGGCGGCGTCGTCGCGAGGCTGCTCCTGTTCTACTTTTGGCGGCGGTGGTAGATGCTCTTGTGGTTGTTGAGGCTGTTGAGGGTCCGGAAGACCTTGTGGCAGAGGCCGCAGACGGCGCTATTGAGCGGCTGGAAGTGCTGCTGCTCCTTGTGACGTTTGAGCGTGAGCTTCGTCGAGAGCGTTTTGCCGCACACGTCGCAGGTGTAACAGACCCCCGGCGGCAGGAGGCTACCGTGCAAGGGGTGCGACAGCCGCATGGCTAGAATCGCCGAAGGCGGTCCTTCGTGCGTGGGCAGCGTTTTTTTTTTTTTTTTTTTCGTTTTCGTATCGCACAGTTTTTTTTTGCATTTTTTTTGACGCATTCGACAACATCGTGCAAACATTATGTCGACAACAAAAATATGGATTGAAAAATCATAATAATAGCAATAATAGTATAAGTAGTAGTTGTAGTGGTGAGAGTTGTTGTGATTGTGTTGTTGGTGTGACAATGAATGAGTAATGATGTATTGTTGTTGTTGATTTAGTTTGATTGGATTGAATGTCCGTTACGAACCAATATTCGGCGGAGATGGTTCCACGTGTGGATGGACCCCCAGCACAACACAGTCCGTTGGTGCGCGTGAAGGTAGGTAGTAGTAGAGGTACACACACAGAACAATGACGAACCAGAGCACGTATAGCCGAGCGAGACCGGGACCGGGAACAAACAAGAACAAAGATACGGCTGACATTAATATTTTTCTTTTTGTTTCTTATTTCTTTTTTTTTTTTTTTTTTTTTTTTTTTTTTTTTTTTTTTTTTTTTTTTTTTTTTTTTTNTAATGTGGCCTAACGGTGGGGCACCGTTACACCTCCCGACTAGACGTTGAATACCAGAGTATCCAACTTTACCTCCTAGGCGCCATTTAGGAAGGCTGAGGCTTAAATTAATAGAGGGAAAAGGAAAAAGGCGGGTAAAAGAAAAATACAACGTTGGCTATACATAAAAAAAAGGGCACTATTTATTGCCGTGAGTGGAGAAAGAAGAACAAAAAAGGAGTGAAAAATGAAAATAAAAAGAAAAGAAAAAAAAAATAAAACAAAAAAGAAAAAAAAAATTGGTACTAGATAACAATACTGTGCTTTATATACTGCTGCTTTGATTGTTTATCACATTCGTATTTTTATTGCTGACTCGGTAAAGTCTACTGAAGCATCAAACTTAAAAATATCAAAACGCTTCGTTGTCATGACAACAAGAAAGGCGGATCTTGTTCAAGAAAGAGAGACAGACAAGAGAAAAGGCTCGGGGCTCTGGTTTGTCATTGATTATGGTAATGTGTGACTCTTGTTGGTTCAGAGTTTTTTTTTTTCTTTTTAATTTTCTTTTTCGCCAAATATTACATGCCAATAAATCGTTCATCGTTGTATCGTCCGTGTCACAATTGTCGATAATAATTGCGACGCGTGTACTCGTACGGTGGGATGGCCAAATCAGTGTTAATGTTATGTTTAGATATTTTTTTTTCTTTTTTTTTTTTTTTGTGTAACAATAACAAGTAGAAGCGATGAGAGTACAGTAAAGTTGTGATCGGTCGTATCATGTACATTGTATCAGGCAAATCAACTCTAGAAGTGCAACTCGATTGCGCGATGTACCATTATATACATACATATATATGTGTGTGTTTATATATACACAAGAAGAGTATTAGAATATAGATTTTGAAAGTGAAAATCAACATACCATTCTCAATGCTTCCCCGGGCGTGGACGAGTGTAGTGTCAAATAATAAGGAGGAGGAGACCCCGCACTCGTTAATTCCAATTCATTCGGTTCGTGTTTTTTTTTCTCTCGCCCTCTCTCCCTCTTCGTAAACACACGTACTTCTTATATATACTTATGCACACGTATTCTTTTTTCTACGTCATTTCTTTTATTTTCGTTCGTCCTTATCTACATACATATGTATACAGAGCGTCGTCGCCCTGCATTGTTCATTGAGAGATGAGAAGGAGGGATGGGACGACAAGCCAGTTCGAGTAGTTCTCTTTCTTTAGCAGTGTAGGTGGATATATAAATATGTATGTATGTAGGCACTCGAACGCGGCTGTTTTATGTATAAAGTGTTGAGAGGAGGTGTTGCGTGGCCAAAGTCCGGGCTGAACAGTGGCACAAAAATTACACACTACGACACGTTGGTTTTTCTTGTTTAGCGTAAAAAATGACTTTTATTCATGAATAATAATTGTTAATGATTATAATGATAATTGTAGCGATGATAATAATAATAATAATAATAATAATAATAATAATAATTATAGTAATGAGACCACTCGTGAGTGTACGCCCGAAACAAAAAAAAACCATTTAAACAAAATAAAGACCTGAATCCCTTAAAACGCATATAAACTATGTAAAATCACTAAGGTAATTTATAATTTTAATGATGATAATTAGTATGATAATTGAGTAGTTACATTAACAATAATAACGATGAAAGTGTAATAAATTAAGGAAAGGGGAGAATAAAAAACGAGCACTATCATTAGTTAGCTGAAGTACAAAAAATTTTTCCCTATTTACATGGTTCGACGATGAGCGAAGCGCTCTGTTTCTTTCTTTTTTTCTTTTCTCACACACGCACTCTTGCTTTTTTTTATGTTTCTCTCTTATTCTCTTTCTCGCCTATAAAAGGGACCTACACGTTATGTGTATTGTATCTTTCCGTCAAATATACATTTCGATGGCTTATTCGTAATTTTGAGTTGTACAAAATTCATTTACATATACAGTTAAGGTATCCGTTATGTCCCACCCATTTGACAGCTCTCTTTTTCACCCTACATAGTCATGGGGTTATTATTTAAGTTATTAATATTATCAATTACGAGAAGATAACAGGCTTGACAACATTATACAAAAAGGAAAATATACACGATCCACAATTGTGTTCTTGCAACGTCGACGAGTCAGATGCGCCTCGTGCGTTCACCGGGAGAAGATGACAACTGTTCGAGCAAACCCAGTTGGATATATATTTTCGCGGATCAGGTGATGCCCACGTTTCACGTCAAACTCCCAACTAAATAATTATAAAAGCTTCAACTAAACCGTGTGCACAGGTGTATATGTACCCGACCAACGACGAACAGGAAAATGAGGAAAAGCCAACAGGGGGTGCTCGAGTTGGAAGTTAAAAAAAAAATAAATAAAAAAAAAAAA